TTCTTTAGCCTGCCACTTAAAATCCAGTTTTCGTTTGGTGGTCAGTTTTCTTTTCAAAACCAGTTCCTATCTAGAAAACCACAAAATTAGTTCCCGTCTGATACAAAAAACAAGGAGTCAGTTATCGTCTGACAACTTAACCTTTTGAGTACTCGCCTGGTAGTCTACCCCTTTTAAAACCAGGTCTCGTCTGGTAGTTTACCTTCAAAGTCCAATTGATTGGCAGCCAAGAATAAATCCCTAAAAATCCAATCACTATAAATATGGTTCTATGCCTAACCACATCCCAGCCACACTTGGCACAATCATCACTCATATCCCCAACATGAGGCTTTTTTTTTACTCTTTTCCCCGATAGAGTTTTTCTTCCCATAGAGTGCTGGTATATCCTTTCTTCATAAAGATCAGACCAGTGTGGTTTGTCCCTTTTGCATATCATAAACATCATTACATCCTTAAAATGCGTAGCATTTCCATTTGTATGGAGAATTACACCATAGAAAAATTCAAACATATGCATTCAAAGCATAAATCGGGTTTGATACCCTCTTTACCTTTGCCTAACCTTTCCCTAGCAAAAAGTGGTCTAACATAGGAGAGGTCGTTTAACTTTATCCCAAGCAGGTGTTCTAACCGATCCTTAGAGTATTAGATCCGTCAATCTTACCCTTTGATCATCGTTCCCTAACATAGTCATCTGTCTAGGATCCCATTATCCCATAAGAGTCGTTTAGCGATTAATTCTTGCTTCTTTCACCCATCATTCAGATGTTAGATGGGTAAGTCTTGATGTTTTTGCGATACTCGATCTTAGCCGACACTCATCCGTATTTGTTTCGGTTTCATCAATACTCGTCCATATTGATTTTAGATATTCGTAGTGATCTTGTAACATTCACCTGTGTTTGATTCCTTTTAGCGATACTTCATCCATATTGATTGCTGACACTCGTATGTGTTTGTTCCGGTTTCATCGATACTCGTCCGTATTAATCTTAGATTTTTAGACATTCGTTTGTATTTGTTTCAAGTTTCATCAATACTCGTCTGTATTGATCTTAAATTTTTAGACACTCGTTCGTGTTTGTTCCAGTTTCATCAATACTCGTCCGTATTGATCTTAAATTTTAGAAACTCGTTTGTGTTTATTCTAGTTTCATCAATACTCGTCCGCATTGATCCTAGATTTTTAGATACTCGTCCGTGATCTTTCAACACTCGTCCATTTGATCTTAGATTTTTAAACATGTTTGTGATCTTTCAATACTCGTCCGTGTTCATCGCATTTTCATCAATACTCGTCTATATTGATCTTAGACTTTCATGGTTACCCTCAACACTCGTTTGTGCTTATCCCTGGTGTACTTGTCACTCGTCCGTGTTAATTTCTTTTTTATCAATACTTCGTCCGTATTGATTCCCCTACTTCTGTTTGCATTGAGTATATAGTTTCTATTGCTCAATTTTCATCAACTATTTCGTTAGTTATATTCCTCAGAGGAGCCGTCTCTTCCCATGCAGAGTGCAAATTATACGGTTCTTTTAGTATTCAATCTCCTTCTACCTCGAACGTCCGAAAGCTATTACCTTCATACCTTCAGTTTTAAGTTGATTGAATAGGGGCAATTGTTGCACCCTAAAATTTTCCCTCTTATTTCTAACCTAAACTGGCTTGTGTTTCACGTTCATGTACATTTTCCATTAGGTCATAACCTTGCATTCACTCATTTGCATTGAACTCCTAAAGAGGTGGATCAAAGCATTTCCCTATTCAGAGGTGATTTATTTGGCTATTGCACTCGAGTTGAGATTATCTTCTTTACCGAGGCTCATCAGATTTCAAGGTCATCTTCGTCATGATTTTTCAAGAGGATCAGTGTGCACTCAAGGACAAAAATTTTGGTTTCAAGTCAAGTGTGGTTATACAGTCATGATCAAGATGTCATACCCTATTTTTGTCCGAGTATTTTAAAATTTTCACTCATCTGACTTTATTTTTACTTTTCATAGCACACATTTTATCTCGCACAGTGTCTAGAATGTCATCGAAATAATTTCCCGGATTTACAGACATACCGGTCAAATTGAATCTCAACGGTGCGTAAAATCGGTGGATGGACAATTTTAAAATCGAGCTTGCAGACGTTAATATATTGGTATATGTTTCGCGTAGTTTAACCCGACGTGTTCATTCTAATTTTTCGACTATTTTTTGTCACATTTTGTTCAGTTTGGGTGCTTTCACGAGTCAAAATTTATTTTAAAATCTGACCAAATACTGCATTTTTCCGAGTCGCATATTTCGTACTGATCATTTTAATGTACTTGGTTTATTTTTTCGAACACTTGGGTGTCCGACTTTATTTATTTAAGTTTCGATTATTTTTACTTTTTTGTCTAAATATTTAGAATAAATAAATAGGATAATTAGTATTTTAATTTTAATTTAATTTAAAATATATATTTTATTTTAGATTTAACTAACTATTTAATTTAATTTGAACATTAAAATAGATATTAGGAACATTATTAACAATTTAAAACTAATCCTAATTTAGTCCCTGTATATACATAAATTGTTGAGAAAAAAAAGGGGAGGCGTAAGTTGTTGAGAAGAAAAAGGGGAGGCGTACGGCTGAGAGAGATTGGCAGCCGCTCACACTCTCGTACCTTCACATTTTAAAACTTGACTTTAAAACTATACTAGTAGAAGATCTGTGCGTCCGCACGGGTAAGTCCATTCATATCTTAGTAGATCTTTTGATAAGGATTGATTGTTGCTGATATATAATTGTCATTATAAAATTACTAATAACTACAAATATTTAAAAATAAAGATGTAACAAATTACCAACATGATAAATCTAATATGTCTAGTAACTAAAATATTTACAAATATCACTAATAACTATAAATATTTACAAATATTTTATTGATTAAAATAAATAAAAAAAAGGTATTGTGGTGATAATGGCCCGTGAAAATAGTGAATTTCAGTGATAAAATTCACAAGAGTTGATAGCTTGATGTTTTCACTGCGATCCAGTAGATTCTCTAAGTCTTCATCACTAATATCTTTCTGTATCTTTTTGTCCTCAGCTGTTTTATCATCTTGAAGCAATGTCAAAATATCTTCTTCATAATAACATAGATAAGAGACAAATAACTCGTTAAAACATGGTAAAAATGTAACTATAAAAATATTTGTGCAAGACTATGGATTGTCGGTAAAAAAATAAATGGTTAAAAAAAGGATAAAGAAAATAAGTATCAAACAGACAAGACAATGGTTAAAAAAAATGCCTGTTATCAAATTAATTCAGCTCAATTCATATGGGTAAAGTGGATGCCCTTGTCAATCCTTCTATAAATGATTGAATTTTTAGTTCCTTAGAGCATTTCCAAGAGATATTCTTCAACTTGGTTCGCCAGCATGGAATGGATAGTTGGTTCTTCAACTTGGTTCGCCAGCATGGAGTGGATAGCAATGTTGTCTTTTTCAACAAAATGCCATTGGAATTGAACAACATGAAGTTGCTTCATATATAATAATACACACAACAAATAGATAGGAAATAATTTTGAAATATGGGTTATTTTGGAAAAAAAATTTTAAAAATTGAATTATTTGGGTAAAAATTTCTTTTATTTTTTTATGTTGTTTTAATACTTCTTTTGCTTTTAACTTATAATAATTAAAAAATTTTACATTCAAATATTTAAATTAATTTTATTTTAAGTTTAAAATAGAAAAAATAATAAAATATTAATATATGATATAAAGTTGTATGATCTAATTTGAGTTTTTTTAGAGTTGCACTATTTGAGTGAAAATTAGATGTGTTATTTCAAGCAGATTTAGTATCAAACTGTAGCAAATCACTTGACACTTATTGGATATACTCTTAAGACTTCTGTAGTTCATGGGGTTCGTGAACTCTTACAAATTTTTTTAGGTAAAAAATATTTCTATAACTATTACTATTGTTTTCCACAATCTTGCACATAGTTTTCAAGCAGATTTAATATCAAAGTGTAGCAAATCACTTGCAGGGCTATATCATTTTGCCAATGTTTCGATTATTCAATCTAATGTATTACAACATTGGACATTTAAAAATGGCATATTACAGATTCTACAACTTCTTGACCGTGTATTACACCATCTACTTTTTGGCAATTTTAATGAAGTACATCAACAGAAGAGTGGAGTTTTCTGAAAAACTATTGTAGCCATTAAAGGTCTAAGACAGAATGAATCGCATATCATAGCAAGTGCTTTGCTTGTTTGAAAATATTAATCTGATTGAACATGAACATTAAGAATCGGGTCGCCAGAAGCTTTTCTTTGCACAGAGCGAACCCTTTTGGTTTTTTTTGAAGTTTTGGAGGTTATTTCCCAGTTTAGAGATTTTACCAAATTCTCCACTTCATCAACAACACTAAGTTCATCACGGACAACCAAATGACCACCTGGTCTAAGTAGTTTATCCACCTCTGCTATAGCAGGAATCAGTTTGCATCTGAGAAGTCAAAATAATATAAACAAACCAAATTAATATGGTGCAATTTCTCAACCCTTCAAAAAATAGTAGAAAAATAAGTACCTAGTCTTTAAATTTGAGAAAAGTTGATTGGCATGCAATAGAACATAAGTTCTTGGATATATGCTGAAGGATTCACACCAATCATGGTACATTCCAATAAGACCTCGCTCATAAATGATTGGAAGTGTATATCCATAATCAACATTCACCACATTAAATACCCATAGTGGAAGATCCCTCAAAGCTGCTGCAAATCTACACACATAACATCACTTTGATAATAGCCCTTCATGGTCAATGATAGTTGTTACCTTTTATTAGTATTAAACCTAAAAGAAGTTTAAAATGGATGCTTACCCTCCATATGTATCTCTCATGTCCATGACATTTCTCACGTTAGACCAATCAACACCCATAATTTTAAGCTCATCTACAATTTTTTTCCATCGTACACTATCTGCTACAAAATTTTTGAGTGGATAATTTTTCACCCTCTGCATCGTTTAGCCAATATGGGGCTTTTTGCAGCCTCTGCGGCCAAACTTCTGGCCATTTAGCCCCTCTCTCTGTCTGCTCAACAGGCAACTTATGCATGCATGCTTGTAGAGGTACATACCTATATGGACATGCATGTTTAATCACTTCATCGCAAGTGAATTCAAACAATGAAATTTTCATATATGTAATCATTTTTAATGTTTACCAGGAAGCATTTGGATCATCATCATCTTTACACATTGGAGGTTCGCTTTGCTCTCTCTTCTCATAACATTCATTGGAAGAAGTTTTGCGGAAGAAGGCAACACCAACTTGGTTCAAAGTATCATTTTTAATGGTCACAAGGTCCCAACACATGGACTTAGTTAACGCTTTCATTGCTGAATGAAAATAACATGTCAACACCTATTAAAATTCCATTTCATTACTGCATAACAAAGATAAGATATGTTATGTATTTATCATACCCTTCCATGTCTCCACATCTTCCTCAAGAGTTTGGTACACAGGTGTGGCAGACCATACAAAATAACCACCCGGTCTAAGAACTCGGTTCAATTCCAAAAGCAACATACCACCTGTTACCGAGGAAAAAAAGTGTCGATGCAATTAACGATTATCGGTAAGTTCAAAGAAAGAAAAAATGTTGTAGTGGAAACAACCTTCTTCGTGCCAAGGTACTCGACATTGCACACAATGTATAAGATCGAATACACGACTTGGGAATTGCAACCTTTGAGTGCCCATGACGGCAGATATGACTGGTATTCCTCTCTCAAGTCCAAACTGAACTTGTGCCTCATGTTTATCTTTAGGCGCAAAAGATATATCAATAACATCTCTTTCAAATAGGTAACCTCAAAAACTACCAACTTCACACCCAACGTCCAATATCACCCTTGTATGCTTTCCCCGTGCAATGTCTGGTTACGCCTGAACAATAACAGTTAACCAATTATTTCAAACAAACTTATAATATCATATATATATATATATATATATATATATATATTACATAGTTAAGAACATTCATTATTACCTTTTGAAGAAAATCAATATAGTGGAGAGCACCATGAATGAACTGAGTTCCACCTCCAGCGAATGTCAAGAACTCACCCATCAACTTGACCCAATTTTGGTGTCCCTTTACTTCAACTAGCTTAACGTGTGGTACATTGTGGTACCATATCTAAATCAAAAAAACATATTATAATGCTATGGACATTTATTACTAAGTTTTAAACAAAGTAGTATCTTAAATTTAAAGGGTATATATAAGAGAACCTTATCTCTACTACCAGGCCATGGAACATGTATTTTGTATCCCGTAGGAAGTGAGACCAGACAAGTTGGTGCATCCTCAGGGCAATGTCTCTCTCTATGTTCAAAGTGTTTTCTATGTGAAGTCTTCAGATACTTTTCATTATCCAAACATGGAGGGACGCCATCAGTTCAATTCCAAAAGCAACATACCACCTGTTACCGAGGAAAAAAGTGTCTATGCAATTAACGATTATCGATAAGTTCAAAGAAAGAAAAAATGTTGTAGTGGAAACAACCTTCTTCATGCCAAGGTACTTGACATCGCGCACAATGTATAAGATCGAATACACGACTTGGGAATTGCAACCTTTGAGTGCCCATGACAGCAAATATGGCTGGTATTCCTCTCTCGTGTCCAAACTGAACTTGTGCCTCATGTTCATCTTTAGGCGCAAAAGACATAGCAATAACATCTCTTTCAAACATGTAACCCCCAAAACTACCAACTCCACACCCAACGTCCAATATCACCCTTGTATGCTTTCCCCATTCAATGTCTGGTTTCGCCTGAACAATAATAGTTAACCAATTATTTCAAACAAACTTATAATATCATCTATATATTACATAGTTAAGAACATTCATTATTACCTTTTGAAGAAAATCAATATAGTGGAGAGCACCATGAATGAACTGAGTGCCACCTCCAAGGAATATCAAGAACTCACCCATCAACTTGACCTAGTTTTGGTGTCCCTTTACTTCAACTAGCTTAACGTGTGGTACATTGTGGTACCATATCTAAATCACAAAAACATATTATAATGCTATGGACATTTATTACTAAGTTTTAAACAAAGTAGTATCTTAAATTTGAAGGGTATATATAAGAGAACCTTATCTCCACTACCAGGCCATGGAACATGTATTTTGTATCCTGTAGGAAGTGAGACCAGACAAGTTGGTGCATCTTCAGGGCAATGTCTCTCTCTCTCTCTCTCTCTCTCTCTCTCTCTCTCTCTCTCTCTCTCTCTCTCTCTCTCTCTCTCTCTCTCTCTCTCTCTCTCTCTCTATGTTCAAAGTGTTTTCTATGCGAAGTCTTCAGATACTTTTCATTATCCAAACATGGAATATAATCAACACCAGCTGTTACATTGCATATACTCCACTTGAAATCTATCTTGCAAGGAAATAGGTATCTATCTTGCAATCCTCCTAATAATACTTCAGCAAGCAGTATCCCTGCCTTGTCTGATCTGAAAAGTAAAATAAACTTAGACAGGCAGAATAAATAATAAACTTTAAATGGAATCAAGACAGTGAAACATCCATTTTTACCATGCCGTCTATCGAAAAAACAGAAACATGACAATATATATCCTAGCCACCCCAAGCACATCAACTTTTCTAAATAGTTTTAGCTAGATATTTTTGGCATTAGACACAAAAAATAGGTAAAATGCAAGACTTCATGGATATGATGAAGCCTTGGATCTATGAATTGCACATATGACAACATGCAGCTGTCAACTTCCATGGCAATTTTTCAAGCATATGCTATCATAATCCAGTGACGATCAATTATGTCACAGTATATTGTCCAGCAAAAATGATAGAAACTCCATGAATTGCCTACACCATGTTAAGTAACAAAAGGCAAGTAGATGATCTTTCTTGACTTTGCAAAAGTTATATTCCACTGAACGAAGAGATAAAATTTTACCTGTCAATAGCAATCGACCACGTGCTGGCTATGAAATCAGTGGCTGAAAGCAATTCAGCTGGCCAAGCCAATGCAGTTAAAAGTGCACTCAAGATAGTTAGCATTGCCCCTTGCCTCATCAACTTCATTACAAGTCCTAACACATCACAAAAATATTGATATCATTCACGAGTCTACTTAAAAGTATTAAAAAACATTAATAGCCTAAAACCCAAATCAATTACTTGAAGTTAGCCAATTCTGGATTGCAGTGCTCACGACCATTAGATTCTTGGATTTGCACTGCAGTGCATACCTAACTTTTGGCAAGGATCATAAGTCATTAGGGTATTAACTTGCATTTCTATAAGTGTAAAGGAAACAACAGGAAAATATGTGATTAGACTACAATAAGATAACATATAATTAGCATGTTGTATTGACATGTACTTGGCTGATAAAAACTGTATTAAGCAATAATATTCACAAGCAAAGTCATTATAATTGTTATCAATAACAGATTGCAGAAAATGACGGAAATCCAAAAATTTGCTATATAAAATGACGGAAAGCCACATGTGTTCCTTGCAAATATTTATCTAAATATTATATTATTAATACTTATGCAAGACATAAACACTAAATCATATGTTCATTAAAATTAAGGAAATGGATTAGATATAAATTGATGAGAAATATACTTACCTCATTTAATATCCACTGCCAACTTCTTTTCCTGTAGTACACAAGGCAATGAAATACTAAAAGGAAATATGAAATAGGGTAAAATCACTAAGAAGATCTTTGTTAGCACTCTTTACCTCAATCTGAAGAGAAGATATCTCTCTTTCAATTCCTGCAAAAAAAATAAATGGTCCATAACTGCTTATTTATCTAGGTAATATTTTATACATACTGGAGAACCACGAAAGACAAGAAATACTTAAAGGAAATCTTACTTTAAAATTAAAATGTATATGAAATCATTATGGGTCAAATGTATAGAGTAAAAAATTTATTTCTTAGTAAACCCTAAATTTAAAGAGTAAAGAACCTAATGAACGTTACCGATGCGAGGGCGACATGCTATATTTATTTATCCTTGTATTTCAATTTTACATGCGTCTGACGGTTTAGCGTAGTAACAATCCACTTTTTGCGCTTACCGATTCGCGTCTCGATTTGCAATTGGTGATTTTTTATTACCTTGTTGTTTCTTGATTCGATTTGCGACGACCGCTTATGCGGTAGCAATTTGTTTTTTTTTTAATTTGTGCTAATTTTTTATGATCCAATATCGTTATGATTATATTCGATTAAATTTGTTTTGGTATCCGTGCACTTTTCTGTTCAATTTATATTTTGATATTGTGTATGCATCTTTTTTCCCTTCAGCCTAACTTTAGGTCAATCTTTGCATGATAACAATTAAGATCCTCTCTTTCTATCCTAACCTTAAGACCATTGTGCATGACAAGATTAGGAGTTAGTTGTTTTCTTTTCAACCTTTGTGCCCTTCTCTTCCCTCTTAAATCAATTCAAAATACTTAATAAGTATGATGTGCATAGTGCGTCACGAGCCTTAAGCACATGGGAGAAGATGAGCAGATGCATTTCTAACCTCATCTTAGTGTACTTTGTGCGCGAGACGTTTGGACCGTTAGCCTGAAGTACTCGATCCTATGTCATAGACTTTAATCCGATACACGTCACGTACAAAGTTAATCCACTTCTTTAAAATCCTCAAACAAATTCAAACCATTTTGTCCTTCGGGATTTCCTTCTAAACCTTTTTTCATAAAGGGCACGTTACCTCTGTTCTACCGCAAACATGCATCGACCCTAACTGCTGGAACGTGAGTTTAACATCGCTCATAAAAGACACCAATCAACTCGTGGCAGGTCGATCAACGAGCGCTCTGACTTCTTTATTCTCGTCCGAATGAGGATACGTAGGCACAAGACGATGAAGTCTTGGCGAGCACAATCCCCCCATTCACCTGTAGTCCTCCGAACTACGTTTACCCTGACTTTCCCATTGCACGAGGGAATACGTAGGCATAGGATTGTGAGATCCTATCGAGTCACCTTTTTCTCCCTTCTGTTTTCGTTAGCAAGTAGAGCTTTAGATAAACACACTCTTTGATTAGAACAACAAGAGTGGATCCCGTTGAATACAACGGACGTGAGGGGGTGCTAATACCTTTCTCTTGCATAATCGACTCTCAAACCCAGGATTTGGTTGCGAGACCATGTCTTCTTCCTCTTAAGGTTTTTCGATTGTGTCCTCTCCCCCGTTGGGATAAATAACGTTTGGTGGCGATTCTGTTTTTCCGCCGGTTATTTTTTCGCGTTACGACACTCTTCACATTTGGATTTGTATCATTGAAGAACATAATCTTCTTCTCAATCAATTCTCTTACAATATGTTTTAAAGTATAACAGCCTTCAAGATCATGTCCAACAACCCCCTCATGGAAAGTATTGTGGGTGTTAGAGTTATAATAAGGTGGAAGTGGATCTGGAGGAGGACCCAAAGGCCTTGGAGTTGCCAAGCCTTGCTCAATGAGGAATGAATATAATCTTATGTAAGTCATAGGGATGAGGGGTATAAGAGGCCTCCCTCCTTGCCTTTTTTTAGCTTGATTGTTCTGGTGTTGAACTGGGTTCCTTTGCGGAGCGTTGGACGCTTGTTGATACTGAGGAACTGGTGGAACTTGTTGAAACACAGACACCTGTTGATTGAAGGTAGGGGTAACAACTGCCACATATGGTTGAAGGG